CCCCAAAACCCCAAAACCCCAAAACCCCAAAACCCCAAGTCAGCATGGAGGACGAGAATTTGCTAAACGAATTTCTTATTAGCCAAATTAGACTGATTGATCCAATAAAGCTTAGGGAGTTCCATTCCATTGGTGCTAAAAAATGATTTATGACAAATAGACTGGGAAATGGAGTGTAAAGTCTGATATTACTAAAAACGGGTATATTAGCAGCCAAACCAGCCTTAAATTTTAAATTTACAGCACGTACTTCAAATTATTTCCAGAACAAAAGGGGTGCATAAGATATGGATTTACTTGCTTGAAAGGGAAAATGTCCCAACAAAAAGTAGAAAAAACACCTTGGTTCAGTATATTAATATGGACTTCCAAAGATGAGTACAAGGTTTCCTCTTGATCTATGTTTATGTATAAGCTAATAGGTCTATATCTCGTAATCATCCATGATACCCGAACCGCTCTTGACTATTAATGGCAAGATAAAGTTTCCTTGGAGCAAATAAATTGGAAAATTAAGCTAGATTGCTCTATTTGCTAAAGTTCACTTTTTAGAGATTCCAGACTAGAGAGAATCACCAAGAATTATGAGGCTTATGTATGCTAAGTCTTAGCAGAGACTTATCTCTGATAGACCCCTACTTGTCATATTATGGGGTATCTTTCAATGTAGTAAATACTCTTGCTCAATTATGGATATGCTTAATGTCTTTCTTATCTAGTGCAGCTGAATGGTCTTGTTTTTCATTGGTAATTGTGTTAATGAACCCAGTAAAATGAAGTTAACACCTCCTAAAATATGTAATTCACAACAAATTATCTGAAGTGGGTCTTTGGTTGTGTAATATTGACTTAGAGCCTGCAAAGATATCGTGTTAAGGATTTTAAACAGCTATCTTGAAAGATTTTTGAAGTATTCCTCATGGAAATTTTTCAGAATTCTTTATTTAAGGTGTAAGGGAAAACTTAAAATATTTTGCTTCTTAAACTATTTAAGCTTTAAAACCTAAAAATACTTCAATTGATTTGGTTTTCAGCAAGACAGCCGGTAGGAGACATAATTTTTCATTGACAGAGCTTGGTTGAGCTCCGGAGACCTTACCAGAACATCTATCTCGTTACTGTTTTTAATTATTTTCGAACTTGGGCGAATCTTAAAGTTATTTCTCACAATTTTTTAAAAATGCTGTTGAAATTGACAAGAAGACGAGGTCCAATGCTAAAAAGAGCTCGAAAGATACCCAAAGGAGTGTTTGAGTTAAATTTAACCCAATCCCAAATCTTCTGATATAAATATACCGCATCTGCTGAAGAAGCTCTAGGTTTGAATTTTCTTACCCTAATGTACCCAAAAAAGTCGAAATAAAGAAGAAATTTTTGCTAATTTTATAATTAATAAAATATAAAAATGGAAGAGGAAAAATATAGCGAGAGTAAGTCATTAGGCTCTGACTAGAGCCACCAATTTCTGTCTGGCCTATGCCAGAAATAACCAAACTTATTTTCATGCTTGGTGGGATACTCTTGAGAAGAGAGGCTTCCAGTTGACCGAAATTTAGAATAATCTTTAAAATTCTTAGATTAAAAATCAAATGTTAACTTATTTCAATGAATTGCTGAGGCGAGGATTCTTGAAGATGAGAGGCCACCTGGATTAATAAGAAATTCTGGTCAAATCTTTGGACCCAATATTATGCTCGTAGGCATCGGATAATATTTCACACCTTGCACTACCATCATTTCTAAATGGATTCACGAGTTTTTAGTAATTATTCTTAGTGAGGAAAGAAACATTAATGATTTTGCCAGAAGATCTTATTTGCTCAATGTCTTCAATATGTATTAATCTTTGAAACACTAATGTAGCTGTTATAGGACAGAAGAAGAATGCCAACCAAGGCAAAGATTCATCCAGAAGGCACCCTAACTCTGGAGAGTGTAAAGTGCCACCTCTAGTAAGCTTTGATAAGCAATTCTTACAGAATATGAGGTCTAAGATTGCCAGAGAAGACAAAATGGAGCTTACAAATAAACTCAGACCGAGCGAACATCAGTTGTTCATCGAATGTAACCTTCCTTCTAAAAACTAGGTCTTAAAACTTATGGAAAAGATTGGCAAAAGCTAGAGAGATCTATACCAGACAAGACTAGTCTTCAGATAAAGAATCATGCTAAGAGCTTCTTTGACATGATCATTAAGCAATTCAAAGCTTCTGACCCTGTTGAGTACTTTCTAAAGAACCCAGAACTTAAAATAGGTAATATTCGGCTCTAAGCTGAGGACTCACTGATATATAGACTTAAATAAACTAATCAGGCCTGAAAGTTTAGAGAAGTCACAATTCCCTACAGGAACTACATTCGCAAAGTAAGCCAAATCAGTTCAAAATATAGATCAAAGGAGAAAAGAAGACTGGAGAGAGTTCTAGCCCCAGGCACTAAGTCAAGGAAGCATAAAATCAGAAGTCAAGAAGAGAGCCATAGAATGAAGCTGAAGAGGTCCAGTAATGAAGTCTCCTTTAACCCTTCCTCTGAGGAAATGGTAAATGGCCGTAAGAAGTACTTCATTGATCGATGTGGTAACCCTCATGAAGTTAGCACAACTGCAATGTCCACCTTCCTTGACTTAAAGAAGGGCGAATTTTCAGTGAAAGGTAATGACATTACCACCATGGTTCCATGCGAAATAGAGACTATCTGGGAAAGAGAGTAAGCTAGTCATGTAATCTTTAGTGGTACTGAAAAGGTAGTAGTCAACTCAAGAGAGCCTATAAAGGTAGTCATCTCCCAGAAGCATGTTAACAAACCAATGGTCTATGACTTGCACAAGAAAATGTTCTTCCCTTTCTCAGAGTACTCTCAGCTTGACTTAAGGATGTACTCTGATTACTCTCAGAGTGAGAATACGTTATACCAACAGATGGTAGACATGCTTGAGAAGAAATATTGCTTACGAGACATTAGGGCTTATTGTGGACAAAGCTCAGAACGCCGACTAAGTTCCCTCAATTCTAGTGGTAGGAACCGAAATGGGGAAGGCAACGGTAGTTTCCAGTCCTCCTCATCTAACAGGGTGGATCAGGATCAAAATGGTCAGGAGAGCCGGAATAATTCCCAACCTATCTTCCACAATGACAATAACGAAGACTGGTTTGGAGCTGGTTTAAAACCAGATACAAGTAGACAATAATGTATAAATGATTTAAAATGAATAATAATCACATGAATGCTAACTTAATTCAATTAAATAACCTCTTCTGGGGTTTTGGGGTTTTGGGGTTTTGGGGTTTTGGGG